ATCCAGCCTGAACTATATCACGAGACCCAGACTCCAAGGGGACTGAGGGCGATTCAAGATTTAGAAAAATTTCTATATTTATTTTCTTTTAGAAACAGGGAAGGTTTTTACTCATTCTTTTTTTCTGGGTACTCTTCTTTTAGCTCCATCCACGTACATTCGAGCTATCTTCAGATTCTGCTCAGCATAGTAACTGATCCGTAACTCTGTGGAAACCTTCAGGAGCTGCACTGCTGGCTTCAGCTGTCTATACCACGAGGCATTTCCCTTATTTTAGTTTTTCCTTTGTCTGATGGCTCTATTTGTATTGATGGTGCCTATAAAGCCAAATCTCACAAAGGCTCCCGTGAAAATAACGATGGCATTCTGAGGGATGAGGCAGGAGGACTGCAAGTTTGAATTTAGCTTGGGAAGCTTGGAGAGACCCTGTCTTAAAATAAAAAATTTGAAAAGGGCGAGGGATGTAGCTCAGAACAAAAGCCCTGGGTTTAATCCCCAGTACTGGAAAAAGCAAACAACAATAACAATAACAGTAACAATAACAATCCTTACTGTCTTAGTCCTGAGGCAAATCTTTAAGAGCCATATTTCTGCTTTGGTTTATATTTGGGGAGACAGCGGCTCAGGGGCTAAACTGCTTGAGGTGCCAGAGTTTCTGAGGCATGGCTTGTGTGGGCACCTAGGCAAATGGCAGCCAACACAATGTGCAAAGCAAAATGAGTGGAAGGATTGGGCAGAAAAGGAAGATTGGAGAGCCTTATAAGCAGGTAAAAGAAATCCGGAGGAGGGAAGGATTATTGGGTGATACAAATGGCAGGAGAAATTAGAAAGCATGAAGAATTGTAGAAAAATTAGAAGCGCTGAGAAGACACAGTGACTATAAAAACTTTTGAGTTGGAAAGGTCAGAGGAACCTTAGCAGGATAGCCTGGAATTCAGGTGGAGTTCAGTGCAAGAGTGAACATTTTCAGCACTCCAAGTGCTTGAAATACACACATATTGCATTACAATAAGTGACGTTCATACTGGCCACCCTAAGTCATCAATAAATGCTTAAATGAAGTTAAGCTTTGTTCACCTAGGTAGGGAAGTATAAAATCAATCTGAACTTTCCAAAATAATTTAGACAAATAAGATCTGGTGCTAAAAGGAACTGTGCTCCTGTTATTTTAAGCCTCATTTGCTTGTAAAATTCATTCCTCAACCATGCTTCAAAACGAGGTGCTACACTATTTGAAAAGTTATTGCTGGAGGGAAAATAAGCTTTTCTTTCATCATTCAGGTATGGTAGAGATGACTAACTTTCCACCAAAATGCAGAGTCAAGACAGAAGTGGCTGCTCAGTCAGTGTGACTGTTAATCCTGAGTTTTCAACTTCATTAGATTGAGAAATGCATAGTAGATTTATTAGAGCACTCTCTTGGATATATCTAGGTGGGTCATGGTGGCCTGGCCTTGGGTCATATAGCTGATCTATCACTTGTTCTTTTCTGGCTCTGTTCCCTTCCTCTGCTTTCTGGTTGCCATGAACTGAGTACCTCTTCTCCACCATGCCCTTCCACCATGATTGCCCAGGTGTGGAGCCTGTTTGACCATGGACTGAATCCCCTGAACTGTATGTAAGTCTAATAAACCTCTCTTCCTTTAAAATGTGGGTATTGGGTATTACGTCTAGCAAGCAGAAAGCTAACTAAGATAGTCAGGGACTACAGTTCCAGTCCCCATACTACTAGGAAGAGCTGGATGCCTCCCAGTGGAGCTGAACAGAGATCATTGGGAGATTTAAACAGCAGGTGCATCTCCAACTCTTCCCCTTTCTGATTCCTTTATCTATATGGTACCATGATTTTGGATGTGTTGAAGATGGCAGAGCTAAAGATCAAAAGGGACTGAGTTAATGACTACTGCTTTGAAGAGATATTGGGAGCTCCCACTTCTTTGGCTTATGAACAAGAAAAAACTGTCTCATTTTTTTAGCTAGCGTACCTTTTGGGGGGCATTATGTGTGACATCAAACACTTTAACTATAATTACTATACCAGGAACTCAGGACAATTCCTTTCTTTTCTACTTATTGCAGTAAGAGGCTAAAATGCAAGCGGCATGTTTTATTTTTTTCCCCCAGAGTACAGTTTTGATCGAATTACACAAGCTCAATGATTTTCTTTAACTTCTGATCATCTATAGGGGGGAAACTACACCTCTAAAAGTAGCTCTTCGTAGCTGATTCATTTCAAGAACTCTTATATTCTGAAACTTGACCACCATTCGTATCTCCAAATGTGCTTGGTCCTAGCCTTTCCATGGAAGAGTTTTCACATGGAACACACTTTTGGCTGTCCCCACTCCAGGTGAGGGCCAACCTGCCACTAATTTAGGTCTTACGTGAGGGCCACTTACCCAAGAGTCATCCATAATAAAGGTTGTTTGGTTTTAATCCAATCACTTACCAACTTCTGACCTTGGACAAGTATTTTAACTTCCCTATGTCTTTGTTTCATCATCGATGAAACAGTAGTAAAGCGAGCGTATCTTGTCACCAGTCCCAACCATTCCTGAGTCACTTCCTTAGGAGGCATGGTCATGTTTAATCTGTGTCCCCCACACTATCCCACCAAAGGGACTGAAGTAGGGAAGAGGCCCAATAGTTGCTGATTGAATGAATGGATATATGAATTGCTAATGGGGCAGGAAATGGATTTCCCCTCTGGTCAGAGAACTAGAATGATTCTTTCCCCCAGCCTGAACTCTAATCGCATAATGCTAAGACCTTTTATTAAGGTCCTGAAGTTTCAGAGAGGCTTCCATCATTTTGCTAACCTCCAGTGAAACTGTCTACCCTGTGATTGTGGGTACTAGATTTACTAGGAAGTTTTTGTTTGCATTTCAAAGGCACAAGACTGGGAGAGTCCTGTGGCTGAGATAAGCACTCGGTCACTTGTTTTTCTTCTTATTCCTGGACATACCCGAGATGTTGCAGACAGGAAACGCATTGAGAAGACAGAAGGGTTAAGAAAATGTGAGGCTGCAAGAACTAAATGTCCTTCAGGGCTAACAGTGCAGAAGGTGCAGGGCAGAGGCCGCCCAACAGCGCTGTTAAATGCAGGCTGTATTCCCCACTGGTCTGGCACGGGTCCTTCTTCAGCTGCTCTGGGGGCTGATGTAGCGTTTGTTTAAAAAATAAGACTGACTTAGGAGGGACAGCAGAGCCGTAAATCAGCCTTTTGTCAAATGCAGGCTCTCACATGTCTCTAAAGAATCAAATTTTAAAACTATTAGAACAATGAAACTTGCCTCCCCTGTCCCTCCCTCCCTCCCTTCCTTGGGTACCTAGAGTCTTCATACTAAGCTACATTTCTAATCCTTTTTTGGTTTTATTAAGTTGCTAGTTTGCTCAGGCTGGCCTCAAACTTGCAATTTTCCTGCATCAGCCTCCCAGAGAGCTGGGATTACAGGCATGTGCCACCAAACAGGCTTCCCCTCTTCTTTTCTGATTATATTTTCACGAGTCCATGTCTGCAGTATATAGTTGGTCCATGTTCATCACACATCATGATGCTCTTTACATCCCTTCTTTCCTTCACCTTCCTTCCATCTCTGGATCCCCTTCCCTTTTGCAAAAGATCTCCCTATTTCCTATTATCTTTTTTTTATTTTGCTTTTTGTTTCTATTTTGAGTTTCTCATTAAGAGAACCCGTGCACTGTTTAAGCTTGCGTGTCTGATTTCTTTCCTCTTTTCTTTCAGTAGTATCTGGCATTAAGTTATCCCACTACCTAATGGACTTCCCCCCGGAAGAGCTCAGGAGCCTCACCAACAACACCCACAAAGCTGAACCCATCCTCAGTCTCCTCAAATCCTTCTCTCCTCCCTCCAAGCAGCAAAGGCCCCAATTCTAGCCAGGCAGCAGAGCCGTGAACCCAGCAGTCAGCCACCCACCCTCCCCTCCCACCTCAGCCACGCCTGCTCTCCTCCATCCTCTGCTGCTCTCAGTTCCGTTCACTGTTCTCCATTCCCGCTGCCAACACCGCAGTGCAGCCTCTCGCCACTGCCACACCTGAACAATCCCAACTCCGTTACGGGGGTGGCTCACTTGCCAGCGTTCCTTGCTAGACTCTAGACAACTTGGAGTTGTTAGCTACAGCTTAGCACAGTGTCTGGCACACAATAAATGCTCCGTCTCCCACACAGGTGCCTGGCAGTCAGAGGGAGGCCAATGGGGAAAGCCAAGTCCTCACCCTCGCTTCCAACAGAAGGGCCCTTGGTCTGGTACAGCCTCATTTTCATGGACGAAGGAACGAATGAACAGGTTTCAACCATACTCAGTGTAAAGGATGACACTGATCTTTATTGTAAGTGACTAAAGGGCAGGGGACTTATCTTTTGGGGTTAATTACATTGTAGAACAGCCAAAGGACCATGAGCGACTGTGCATTGGCAGCTGGAGTGGGCACTGGTCACTTGCCTCTATGTAATTAGCATTCTCTGCTTTCTGGGTTTGGAGTGGAAGTGAACGGCCTCTTCCATCAGCACAACCCCTCCCGGAGTCCTCCATCCCCTGAGGCAAAGACTCTCAACTCAAGAGTATGCTCCAGCCAGGTGTGGAACACTCTCACCTGTAATCTCAGCACTCTGGGAGGCTGAGGCAGGAGGATTGCACATAGAAGCTCAGCTTGGGCAATTTAGTGACTTAGCAAGATCCTGTATCAAAGTAAAAAGAGAGAAAAGGGCCAGAGATGTAGCTCAGTGGGAAAGAACTGGGTTCCATCCTCAGTACAAAATAAAGTATGTCTCACAGCATGTCCTTTGTATCTAACAAACATCCACCCATCCATCCATCCACTCACGCACACACTGAGGAGTTGGACAGTGAAGTGGTTAGATAAGCAGAACACGTCCTGCAGCTGACAGCGGCTGTCCTCTTAGGGTCACACTGCCCCGTCACATACGGAGCCAGGGCCCCATGTCCCCTAGTTGCTAAGGTTGGCAAACCTCTCTCTGCGACATTGCCACAGGCCAGCGCCAAGACCGGGATCCGGCCCCTGAGACAAATTCCTCCTCTCAGCTTTGCAAAGAGTCAGCACAGCCAGGGTACATTTGTGTGCCTTTGATTTTATTTTGAATATGACACATTATAACTTGACAAAAGTTATTTTGTAAGCAATGCCAAAACAAAATTTGGCAGTCACCCGAGGTAGGAAGGGGTTAGTCCTCGTCCTCTTCCTCGGCCATCGCCGACGCCTCCGCGGAGGCCTGGCTGGTCTGCTCTTTGTTCTTAATGAACAGCTCGGTCTCGTCCGAAGAGTCCTCGTCACGCAGCTTCTGCACCATGCTTTGCCGGCGCATGGCGCTGAGAGGCTTGCTCACGTCCCGGAGCCACGGCGGCCGCCAGAGCCTGGCGGAGCCCTCCTCACTGTCCTTTTCCCGGGTGGAGCGCTTCCTTCGCCACCCGAACAGGCCCTTTGCCGGCCTTTCCTTGCCTGCCCTCGCGGCTTTTCTGCGGTACCAAGTCTCGATGAGGCTGAAGATGACGATCAGGAGCATCACGAACGCCATCATGGATATCGCCACGATATGTTTGAGGTTGTATCTGTGGCCCGGAAGATCCTGCGCGTTGTCCCTCAGCCCCGCCTGCTCCTTCTGATGGCCCGAGGCCCCCGCGCTATCGCTGATGTAGGTCTCGCCCTCCTCCCACTGCTTGGTGTCCCACCGGGCCTGGGCCTCCTTCTCCTGCTGCTGCTTGCTGAACAGCTTCATCAGGAGGCCCGTTCTCGAGAGGAGCTTGGCACAGGCCAGCTGCAGGTGGGGCTCGGAGCAGTCCATTTTCAGAGTGCGGATCAGGTAAGAAACGAACCTCCTCACCTCCTTGTTGGGGATGAGGATGTGAAACTGCTGGTTTAGCTGGGTTTCAAGCTCATCGCTGGGGGACGGCAGCAAGGGGACCGAGGTTTCTGGAGGCGGCTGCTCCGAGCCGGTGCTGTTGTACTCCCAGTGCGTGTCACTGGTGTGCTCATCGGTGTGCTCATCGGTGGGCATCGGGGTGAGGGCAGTCACGGCAGAATCCGTGGCTGGAACGGGCGAGTTTGTGGTAAAAACATGATTTTCAGCGGCGTTGCCTGCAGTAAGGGTTTCTACAGCAGCGCTTCCTGCAGAGGGTTGGGCAGGAGCATATAATTTGGGGGAAGGATGCTCCTGAGTGCGCAGGTCTCCTGAGGAGGAGAGGAGCCCTTTAAAGGGGGAATGGATGAGGCTCCTCAATGCCGAGAACAGAGGCCTCTCTGCCATCTTCAGTCCCCTGCGTGTGTCTTCCTTTGTGAGCTGCTCCCTGGGGTTGGCCTCAAGTGTTCTGGGGGCCTCGGGTGTTGAGTGAGTTTGATGAACGCCATGACCATTTTTGGAACCTAAGATTGGTTTAATAGGTTTCGTGTTTTTAATTTTGGTACTGGCATGTTCTAAAATCAAAATGCTCCTGGTGAGCTCTCTTGCTTGGTTCCTCGCCCCTTGTAGGGCTTTGGCAGAGGCGGAGATGGCAGATCCTCCCAGCAGGGGAGCCTGCAGGGAGGAAGACCTGGGTGCTTTTTCTTCTGTACGAAGTGGGTTCCCGGCCAAGTTCCTGGGCCCCAGCGCCCCCTCTTTCTGCCCCGCCTTCCCTGTGCTGGGGCTTCTGAGGCTTTGTCCACCTGTGGCTTTTTCTGCCAGTAGCAGGGTGTCCTGCTTCTCCCTGATCTTCTCTTTCTGCCTTTCCTTCAGCAGTCTTTTCTGTGTGCCCTTCGGGCCCTTGAGGACCCTGTCCACTGTCCGCAGCCTTTTGCTTTCGTGCTGATCTTCTACCAGGCTGTTTTCCTGTGCTTGAGCACTTGCCAACTTCTTGGCAACGACTTGAAAGTTGGGACTTGAAAGGCTGGACTGCATGAGCTTGGCCGTTTTCTCCTTCTTCTTAAAGGCCTCAATTTCCCGCTGAATTTCAGCGTTTAACCAATTCTGTAGGATATACAGCTTCTTCAGCTCATTTCTGTAAGCTGAAGTGCTGGGCACAGGTGGATGAGAGGGGTTTCTCACACTGTCTTTTGTGTAACCCTGGCGATGAGCTACAGTTTGTACATTTGAGGAAAAGAGCCGAATGAATGGCAACAGTGAGTCTACATCTTCTACATTTATCTCTGAGAAATAGGGCAGCATGGAATTGAGCTCTCCAACCTCTTCGTTTGCATCATTAGAGTCAAGCTCCTCATTCTCGAGGTCCGACCAGCTGACATCGCTTTGTTCAGAAGATGACTTTTCAGACTCCATCACCAGCTCGGTCTTGGTGTTCTTCCGGGCCTGTAACACCTTCATGAAGGCTCCTTCTGCGTTCCCGACTGGGGCTTCCTCCAGGCACAGTGTGGCATTACTCACACACTCACCATCACAGTGCAGCTTGACTGTCTTGCACGCAGCCTCAATATCGCTTTTAAACTGGCAGAGGCAGCAGGCCATATGCCTCGGGATGACCAATGTTTTTAGTCCCAGCGTCATCATGAGGATGTTCTCAACCACCGGAAGTGGCGTTTGTGTTGTTCCCAAGTCGAGATATCTTAAGGCTGGCAATTTAAAAAGATAGGGATCTTCAACAGTCGACAGGGGATTGTGATTGAGGATGACTGTGTGTAGAAGCGGCATCCTGTGCCATGCCCGAAATGTTCCAAAGCTAAGCTGTGTGAGCAAATTGCCACGAAGACTTAGAAACTGCAAAAACGGTAGTGGTTCAAACGTCTTTGCTTCAATAAACTGTATTTTATTGCAGGATAAATCCAAATACTGGAGGGACAGCAGGCCTTTAAAGGAATTTTTATGTAATTCAGTCAAGTCATTTCCACTGAGATTTAGTTTCTCAGCCCACTTGTATCTTGTCCAGACGTTTTCAGCAAGGTAAAAAATAGCGTTTTCTTGGAAATTGAAGGTGGTAAAGGTGGTGTTGGGCTCTAGTACAGGCACTTGGTGGAGCTGGTACTTTGGGCTGAGACCAGTACAGGACAAGGTCTCATTCTGGCAGGTGCAGAGCTCACATATACTAGTGTTCGTCCTGGCATTCTGCTTCTCTTGCACTGTGGAAGTCTTTCCTGTAGAGTTACTCACGGAATAGTCAGTGACCACAAGTTCCACATCCAAAGGCTGAACGGTGACTTCAGCCAGGCTTGGATGCTGAGCCTGCACCTGCTCTGGGTGTGTGAGCACTACGCCAGGCTGCTCTACAGGAGGAGATGCAGCTTCCCGCAAGGGCACAGAATCCTGAGCCTCTATGGTGAGTACTGCAGTTGTGAGCTCCAAAGGTTGGTCTGTGACCACGGATGATGTTGGATGCTGAGTTGGCTCCAGACCTGGAGTTACAACTTTCACCTTATGAGATGCTGGAGTTTGAACGACAGTCTCCTTAGGTGGCTCTGGAGGCTGGGATGGGGTCTCCTGCATACGTGGAGAAGGTCTGACTTTTGCACTAATTCCTGGAGTGCCGATAAGCTTCCAGTGCAAAGGTCGAACTGTGAGCAGATTGAGTTTTGAACGCTTAGTCTGAACCAAGTCTGGAGGTGGAGGTGTCACTGTGTGGTGCTTAGAAGGAGGAGCTGTAGTCTTCAGGGCAGTAGAAAATTCACTGTCTGTAGTAGGCTCTGGAATGATGGTGACTTCCATGTCCAAAGGATGAAATGAGATGCTTGGCTGCTGAGCTTGAACCTGAGCTGTTGCTGCAACTGTCAACTCAGAATGGGGTGAAGGGTGAGCTGTATTCCTGCTGGGTGGCTCACCTGGAAGCTCAGGTAGCATCATGGGCTGGGTGGGAGGAAATTCGACCTTCTCGGGAGGCTCTGGAGGAGGAGATGCGGCTGATGGCGGTGCAGGAGATGGTTCCTCTTCCTCAAGGGGTTCTGCAGGCTGAGGTGGGGTCATCTGCTCAGCTACAGAAGGTTCCATCTCATTGGGTGGCTCTGAAAGTGGATCTGCATCCTCCTCCTGGGTGACTGAAAATGGTTCTATATCCTTGGGTGACTCTGAAGGCTGGGCTGAAATGAGTCCTGAAGACTGAGCTGTGAGCTCTTGCTGGATCACAGAAACTGCTGCACCAGAGGGGTCTGGGGACATAGGCAAGTTCTTAGGCGGGTCTGAAGAATATTCCCCAGCAAGCTCTGTGGGTGCAGTTGGGACCTCTCTATCAAATGCATCCTGTTCATCCTTTACAGCAGGGTCTGGCTGTGGCATTATAGGCTCTTGATTGTCTCTGAGAGTTTCAAGCTGCTCAAGGGACACTGAGGACTGAGCTGGAGCCTCCCGTGCAGTTGAACTTTCGATTTCAACCTCTCTAGACAACAACTCTGTAGGAGTAACAACACCATGGTTCAGTGTTGGAGGCTGAACTTGATTGTCACCTAGAGGAGAGACTGTTATTTCCTCTTGTTCTGGAGGCTGAGCTATGAATTCATTAGGGAGCTCTGGAGGCTGAGCTTCAGCTTCTTGAGAGGTCAAAGATGGCTCGCCCTCCTCAGAAGTCTGTAGATTGTCAAGTGTAGTCTCCTGCTGAGGGAGTTCTAAAGATTTAGCTGGAGCCTCTGGTTGAAATTGCAAGAGCTCAGCTTCTCCGGAGGGCTCAGAAAAAGCCTCTTGCTGACTTATGGACAGTTCCACATTATTCACTGGAGCTGAAGGTTGATCTGTAGCCTCAGGGAGGACTGGGAAGATTCCCTCTTCTATGGTGGGTTCTGGGGTTATGGCAAGCTGCAGATTTGGGGGTTCACCAGTCATATGGGGCAAGTGTGGATGTTCAGCTTTGTGGTGAGGTGGAGCTGAAACTCTTTCTGCATGATTCTCTGAAAACTGAGCTGGTTGCTCAGTTTCCAGATCTTCAATGTACTCTGAGGGCTGAGCTGGGGCTTCCAACTGGCTTTCAGAAGGTGGTTCTTCTTTCCTAGAAGACTCAGAAGGCTGAGTTGGCTTTGTCTTTGTGTCAAAAAGTTCAGCCTCCACAGGAGGGCCTAGAGGCTGAGCTGGGGCCTCTTGGTGGGTTGAGGAAATTTCTAACTCTTCAGAGAGCTCTGGGGTCTGAGCCAGGACCTCTTGTCGATCTGAGAAAGGTTCCTCCTCCGCAGGACTCTCTGGAGGTTTGGTCAGGGCCTGCAGCTGGCTTGAAGGAGGTTGTGGCTTTTTTGCTGCCACTGTAGATTTGGTAACCTTCATGTCCACAGGTTTCTCTGTGACAAACGGCATGTTTGAATGATGAGCTTCACTCCTACTTTGAGATGAAGCATTTGCCTCTTGGTACATCAACAGCCTATCTATATCCTCCTCAGTACCAAGTTCATACCGAGCATGGGAATCCTGCCGGGTTACAGGAGGTTCAGCTTCCTCCGGGGCCTGTGAGAGTTGATATTTGACTTCTTGTTGACGTGAAGAGGACTGGACCTTTGCAGTCTTTGGATTTCGAGTTTGGGTCTCCAGAAGGACCTGAGAAATTCCAGTTTGTTCAGAGGGTTTTAGAGATGGGGTCAAGCCCAGGGAGGGAGCAGAGGAAGCTGGGTCATCAGAGCCCTCCGGCTGTGGCTGGGGAGGAAGGGCCCTGGCCATTTCCAGCAGGAGATCAGGCAAAGACCAGGGCTCAGTGGGCGCTGGTGGCTTGTTAGTCAGCAGGGCCCATTGCGTTTCTGGAAACCCGGCTGCCAGGGTCAGGAACCACAACAGCTTCCAGGTGAGGAGTCTGGGAACGCAGGGGCGCAACGGGAACGTGACGAGAGAATACCAGAATGAGTGGCACATGGCCACCCAGACCAGTGGAGTACAGCTGCTCTGCCTCATGGAGCAGAACATTTCTGATAGCCTCTTGCTCAGGAGCCTGGGCAACCAGGGTTGAGCTGCCCCGCCCTTCATTGATGACATCTTTGCTAAGGAAACTTGTATTACATCAGGCCCAGATGGTCTTGCATCTTTTCCCCCAGTGACCAGGTCCAACTCCCCTTCCCCAGCAGAGGTGGCAGTGGCCCCTTACAGGGCAGCCTCCCCCATCATGAGGCAGGATGTGGGGCTCAGACCAGGTGGCTCCCATCTATAGGGTAGGGTGTGGTGGACAGGACTGAGACTCTGGCTGCTCAGAATTACTGGATATTTAGTTTGGTTCTTAAAGGTTGTTACTGAATGCTGACACTGATGGAGACCTAGCCGATGACCACAGAAGTGAGGCTTTCACAGGAAGGGCTGCCCAGGTGGGAAGGCTGAGACCAATCAGACTGACTTCTTATAAGCAAGACAGGGATGCTGGGACTCAGCTGGGACTTCTCAGGGTCTCAGCCTTCAAGGCTGTGAAGCAGGAGAGCATTTCTGGTCAGGGTCTCTCTGCCCCTTCTCAGGTTTCCTTTGAGCACGGCTGGTAACGTTCACCCCAGGGTAGAACCCACAGGGAGCACAACAGTGGCCATCCGACAGTGCTGCCCCTTCCAAGGCTCACGTGAAATCAGCTGAGTATTATATAGGCCACATTCATCCAGCGTATCAATGCTGTGAAAATAAAGACTACATTCCCGATTCAGTGGAGTTTATCTGGATGATCCTCTCTGACCAGAGGAGTAATCTGGCAGCTCTCAGCATTGTAGGTTGTTCGGGGCAAAGGCTGCATGTCACTGCCTGTGACTGCTCCCAAGACAAAATTGCCATGGGGTGGGTCTGGAAAAGCAGCTTCCTGCCACAGGACTTTTGGGCCCTTTGAGCATTGCTCGCGGAGTACATTTGGATGACCTGGAAACCAGGATGGGCCACTGTGGCATTTGGGAGAACCCAGATGAGTGTAGAAGCCGAACTGGGAGAATGCTGTGAACAGAGTATGAAGCAAGCCCTCGGCCGAGGGTCCAGAGCTCTGCTCCCGCACAGGCAAGATTTTGTCACTCACAGTGGGGACTGCAAGAGGTGTCAACTGTGCCTGCCAGGTAAGCCTTCGATGAAATGATTTTCAAGGCAATCGTCCGTGCTGCGCCCTTATATGGAGACAGCAGGGCTGACAGAAAGGACACCGGAAGAGGGAGGAGAGGAGTTCGGGCTGATCCTATGTGCTCACAGGGTCTGAGTAGGAAGGTCACCTCTGGGAGACGGCCAGGAACCTCAGCTTTACTAAGATGTTCAGGGCTCTCTCCCATGAAAATGGCAGCAAACAGGTCAAAGGTGGTATGCATAGCCCTTAAAAGAAACTGCTCTACAAACTGGAAGAAAGAGCATCCCTGGGAGGTGAAGGAGCTTGCCCAAGGTCACTCTGTGGGTCAGGGTTAAAGCTGGGACTAGAATTTGGGTTAAAATCTCCAGCCCTTGGGGAATAAAGTTCTGTCTGGTCCTGTTTGTTCCAGGAAAGGCTCGGAGGCACAGACAGCTGTGTGCACCCACCTCCCCCTGCCTACTTCGCATCTTGGTGCAGTTTCTGGGTCTCACATGTCCAAGTCCTTTCCCAAATCCCCAGTGTCCTGCTCTTGAGGGCCTCTGGGCCTTCCAGAGCATTTGGAGCTCCCCAGATGTGAGGCGCTTTCCCGATCCCTGGCCCCTGAGATCTTGGGGCTGGGTGGGCACTGGCTGACTAGCTTAGGCCTGGCAGGGCTGTCTCTCTGTCTTTGGCTTTCCATGCTTCCTGAGGGTTCCACAACAGGGGTGAGGCTCTCTTTGAAAGTTGATATACACGTTAATCAGTTTATTCAGCACATATTTCTTGAGTATCTACTCTGGCCAGAGACCATGTTAGAGACTGGGAGTATGACAGGGAGAACAGATATAACTAAATGATCACACAGAATCACCAACAGCAATGGATGCTATGAAAGAAGAGAGTAGAGGGTTAGAGAAACATTTTCTAGGGGTGCTGATTCAAAGGGGAACCCCATATTCAGATATAGAACAAGGATGAGAGTGAAATCTAGCTATTAGAAATAGTTTCCGTGTCTTTATTTTCCACAGTACATATAACTGGATCTGAAGCTTTACACGGACATGTAAACTGAAATCAGCTAACTCCAAGTTTTACCGGTCTGCAGGATGACCCTATGAGGTGCAGGAGACAGAAGCTTCCTTCTCTGACTTTTATGTAGCTAGCAAATCATGAATGTAGCCTGGGTTGCCTGAAAGTTTTGGGTCCCGGAAGCCACTCTTACCTGAAATCAATCCCTCATTCAAAGAACACACTGAATCCAATACTGCTACTGAAAGTAAACACTGCATTACCTAGCTTTCCTTGGCCAATGTATTTCAGGGCACAAACTTCACATAAAAAACCAAAATGTCTCACAAAATCCCCTTTGGTCTGGAAAAAAAAAATTCAATCCGGAATTACATGTTATGCTGCAAGGGTAACAGTTTGTATTTATACATTTTCCAAGAGCTCAGTTTTCCTAGGAAAGGTGCAGGTACATCATAAAGCAAGGCTTCTGTTTCACTGAGGTGTTTGCAACCACTTCTAATTTTCTGTTTTTATGGACTTGATGGCAAGTGAAAGCTTTCATTACAGTAATTAAAACACCACTCTCCTCCGAAGAGGGAAATGATGCATGCTGGACTTCTAGGAACTGGCCACGTCCCAAATAGCACTTACCTAGATGTGCATTTGTTGGCGGGGGGAAAAAAAATACAGACAGGGTTTAGCAGACTGTTGAATGGCATGATCCTGTCTCTGGATGAAAGGCATTTGTATTCTTATTAGGAGGTCTGATTACATGGTTCTCAAATTTCCCCTTCAGCCTCCTGGGACATGTGAGGTGCAACCTTGTAAATTGTCAGCACACAGAAAGCTAAGATTTAGAGAGTGGTTTCCACTGTGCATCCTATAAAATGTGTCCCACGAGGAAGATTAGTATCAATCACAGGCTTATTGGAGAGGGAGATGGGATCCAATGATAACCTGGCACCATCAACTAGAGTAATGGTCTAAGAAGAAAAAGCAATCAGAGAGGAGAAAAGAATATCCACAAAGAAAGACAGAAGTAGAAAATCAGAGTGCAATGTATCACATTGATGAACAGGAGCTGTTACCCGGGACAAAGGCGCGTGTGAACAATGCAGGTTCTCACACCATGGATATAGCCTACTGCTTGTCTTAAGGGGAATGGAGGAGACAGACTGTCACATCTCACAGCTTGACTGTAGATACCAGGGCACTGCGATGTAATGAAGTCATTACTACTCAGAGTCTTACCTGTGCTACTTGAGAATCATTTGCTAATTTCGGAGACTTCTAAAAAGAGAAGCTGGGACTCCCATTTCTCAGATAGCTTCATCTTGGAAATGATAAAAAACAATATAGCTAGCCCTGGCCAATTTGGCTTATTAAAGTCTGGTAAAATTACTTGAGTAGCTATTTCTGCAGATGTGAACTGATAAGCCCAAGAGGGAGGAAAGGTTTGAGTGTGTTTTTTAAAGGTAGCATTTTTATTAGTTTTTCTTAAAGGCTAATCTGAAGTTTTTTATGTCCTGGAATCCTTTGATGGTCCTTTGATCAAGAGGTAGACTCCAATTCACTGTATTAGTCACCTCTCTGTTGCTGGGGAAAAAAAAACACCTGATACTCAGGTACGTCAAGGAGGACAGATTTATTTGGTCTTTTGGTTTCAGAGGCTTCCGTTCCATGGCTGCCTGGCTCCAAAGCAGAAACATCACAGCGGAAGTGTGTGGTGGAGGAAAGATGCTCAAGTCACGGCAGCCAGGAAGTGGAGAAAGCAGGAAGAGCCAGACAGGAAGGAGCAAGGAACCAGGTATCATCCCTTTGGCCATGACCCCATAATCCAGGCAGACACACCTAGAAGTGTGCTTTACTTATCTCCTAGGTGTTAAGCGGACACTCAAGATTAACCATCACATTCCCCTCGCCTTACATATGGGCTGATCTTAGTGGCTCCCCCCACAATGAATAGAATACAGTGGAAAGTGTCACTTTGTGACTTTCAGGGTGAGAGTAGAAATAGTGAGCTTCCTGCTCTGCCTGCATCACTCAACTCTGGAATCCCAGAGCCATGATGTAAGGAACCCCTGTGTAGCATTTGTAGGTGTTTGGATCCAAAGCTCTGGTTAAGACTCCAGCCAGCAGGTACCATTGGTCCTCAGAGACATAAGAGACTTCAGTCATTCCACCCCAAGTCGTGACCTAACTGTGACCAGATAAACTACAGCATATGAGGGATCTTAAGGGACACCTGCCCAGCTGGATTTGGTCAATGTTTAAGATTCTGGGAGATAAGAATAAAAGAGTCCCAGGGATTTACACTATTTGGAGTGATTTGTCCTGGTTACATTCAGGAAGAGGTGTGACATGAACACTATTCCTCGCTCTGCTTCCAAGAACGGTAGGTCTATAATGAAAATTCTGTGGAACTGCCCTGAGGGAGTAAGACCACAGCGCCAGCGCTTCTCAGCACCACATCTGAAGCACTTTCAAAATGTCAAACCTGAGCATCCCCTCAAACACCCTTCTTGTCCTCACACTGCTCAGAAGGAAACTCCACAGTAGAAAATCACCCCAATTTACATTTGAGTTGTCAGTAAAGATTTAGAGTTATCAGTACAATTATTTCTCTCCAACATCAAAACAACACAGATACTTGGCCTAATTCTTTACATTATTTCAGGATCCTCTCCTGTAAAATATGGCCTGGGTCTTTTGTTTAGGAGTAAATTGAAGACCATGTCTGGATATCTATGATTTGATTCACAGAATAGTTTCTGGGGCAGTGAAAAGGAAGAGGAATTGGGACAAGAGAAATGAAACATCTGACACTCCTGCATTTCCATAACCAGGGGAAAAACAACAATTGTTAAATAAAACAAAGCACATTGTTTGTTTGTTTTGACACAGGAGTCTCCAAATGTCGACCAAGCTGGGCGCAAATTCTTGAGCTCAATGGATCCTCCTGCCTCAGCTT